GGATCTCTAGTGCGGTTGCATACATCAGCCTTTCCCCGTTCGGATATTGTTTAAGTTCGAGGAAACCCTTCCAAATGCTGAGGTCATGGAGACAGTTCTAGAATCAGTTCTAAAGGCTTCAGAGTTTTGCTTTTCTCTGTAAGTGTTCAACCCTCAGGAATGCGGACGATGAGTCTTGGTGTCCGGCACGAGGGTCCAATGGAACATGTCTCCCACATGGACAGCCACCTGTCCCTGGTCACCCTCTCCCCCCCTGTGCCGGCCACCACAGATGCGTGGCGAGCATCCCTGTGCGTGCAGGCTCTTTCCGGATGTGCCGCCCTGTCCTGCCGGCCCGGCCACATCTCTCTGTATCGGCGGTGCCCGTCTCACAGAGCAGGGCGTCGCGCGAGGTGTTGGTACCTGGTAGAGGAGAGCTCTGAGCTCCCTGCTCTTTGAGAATATGGCCAGTTCTCGGCTGGTGGCATTTCCAGATCAGATCTAGAGTCAGGAGCCAGGTGCCAGCACACAAACGGAAGGGTTTCTCTTACGGCTCGAGGAGGAGGGTCTTTTGTCTGTTGAGTCTTCTAGAAAGTGGAGCAAAGTCTGTCTCCCCCTTGGTTAGGTTGTGTCTTCTTGAACGGCTGCCATCGAGGCCTAACCATCTCTCCTTAGGGTCCTTGTACGTCCTGATCCGATACTGAAGAGTGTACTGTACTGTTGTGGACAGGACCTGTCTGCTCGTTTTGATTTGGGGTTGCTGTGGGGTTGTTGTTGGATTTTTTGTTTTTTGTGGGTTTTTTTTTGTTTTTTGCTTTTGCTTTTTCTGACTTACAGGAGAGGCAAAATAATACAGGGGCCCCTGTGTTCTTTTTACCAGCTTCCTCTAATGCCGGCGCCTCGTGCGAGCGTGGTATGGCCGTGGGGAAATTGCTAAAAGAAGTCACCGTCGCAGCAGCACTCGCATTGAGCTAAAGCTCAGTTCGTTTGCTGGGCTCAGCTACTGTCCTTTGTTCCGTCAGTTGTGGTACCTTTACATCCAGCGCGTCTTCAGGTCTTTTCTGAGGTGTGATGCCTCCTCCTCGGTCTTTGCTCGGTTTTTGTAACCTTGGCATTGGTGAGGAACGTTGGCCAGGAGTCCGCGTCCCGCCGTCGGGCTCCTCTGGGACCTCGGGGGAGACTGGGCTAATGGGTGTGCCGGGAGCAGACATGAGGCGCTTCACATCTCGTCGGGGTTCACGACAGCAGCGTGATTCACTGGTGCTGCTAACCTTGACCCCCGGGGCTGAGGTCGTGTTAGAAGGCTCCTCCCCCTTCCGTGGCCTCGTTGGGAGCTGGTCACTGCATCTGCTGTCCTCGAGGGGAGGCACCTGGCATGCCACCTCCTGCGGGACCGGGTGGGAACAAGTCAGCATGAGGACACCCCGCCACGAAGGGACACCTGCGGGGAGATACCCTGCCTGTCGGCTGCCAGTTCCACCAACCGCTTTGAGCGTTTATCCGTGGAAATTAGGATCTGTACCTCTCTTCCGGTTATCCACTTGTTTCTATCAGGACGAACTCAGGGATTCTGGGGTCTTGAGCTATAAATTGATACTAATTTTTATTTGTCTTGTGGTTCAAACTGCTCTGGCTTTGACCCCGGGATCGAGGGTCCTTTGGGCTCCTGCGCCTGCTCAACACACCCCCACTCACTTGGAGCTTTCGCTTCCTTCCGAGCCCCTCACGGTAACGGCAGGCTCCTCATCCGTCGCCCTGCCGTGGCCCCACCATGGCCCCAGACTTGTCCTCAGCCAGAGAGCGCTGATTCCTCCAACCGGAAAGGAGATGGTGTTTAGAAACCAGGATCTGGCCCTGGGGGCGCTCGTGACTCTTGGGTTGTCACTGCTTCTGGGGCCTCTCCACGGACAGAGCAAGGAGGTGTGCATACATCCATAAGCCAAGGACACGCACGTGTCTGCATTTATAGCTGTGCCTACAGAAAGAGCAACACGGGTTCATACTGAAATCGCCGTGGCGGGGGTCATTTGTGTCCCCCACCATGACACACTTTTTGCTACTGCATCTCTCAGAGAGTGAGAAACCTGGTTCCCGTTATCGATAATTTATGTACTTACTTGTTTGACCTCTAGTTTCCCTATGAGAAGTAAGATTACCAACTAGAGCCCTGTGTTTATGACAATCTGAGACGGCTTCCCAAGCCTCAGGGACCGCCGTCTTCCCATCCTTTCCATGCTATGTGGTGCCATGTCACACATTCGTCACACAGAATTCACTTGTCCCAGGATGCTTCCATTCCTAGGGTCCTGCGACAGGCTGGTTGATTTTTTCTTTTCTTTCTTTGGTTTGCATACAGCAAAATTCATTCTTGGGAGACGGTTCTGTGGGTTTTGACAATGCCTGGACTCATGTATCCACCACCAGAGCATCACGGAGAGAAGTTCCACAGCCCTAGGAACTCCCTGGGGCAACCCTTGGGAAGTCAGACGCTCCCCCTCCCGCAAGCACGAGCAACCGTTGATCTGTTTTATGTCCTGGTAGCTCGGCCTTTTCCAGAATGTCATAGAAATGGGGTCACAGAACACGGAGCCCATACATCTGGCTTCTTTCATGGCCTCGCAAAATGCATGTGAGGGTCAGCCATGTCGCCGCACGAGCTGTCGGCTCATCGCTTCTGGTTGCTGGGCAGCGTTCCATTGTGTGGCTATAAAACGCGTGTTTACCCACTCACCTGCGGAGGGACATCTTGGCTGTTGCCAGGTTTGGGCGATTTTGAGTGAAGTGGCTGTGTGCGTTCGTGTACAGGTTTGTTGAGCATACGTTTTCGATGTACTTGGGTCACTATCGGGGAGAAGGACCGCCAGGTTGCACGGCCAGTGCACACTGGACCTCAGAAGACACCGCCGAGCTCTTTCCCAGCGCAGCTGTGTTACTCGGAACATCTTTTCCCATGCTTGCTTGTAATCCATTTCTTAAACTGGGTTGGTGGCTTTCCTACTGTCATGTTGCCAGGGTTCTTTATATATTCTAGACACAAGTCCTTGGGCAAATAGACGTGGAAACACCTTCTTCAAGTCCAGAGCTTATGTCTGCTTCCCTCAGGAGTGAGCCTTTTGCAGAGCAAATACCTGTAATTTTGATAAAGTCCAACTTGTCAACTTCTTTGTCTCACTGACTGAGCCTGTAGTGTGGTACTTCAGAACTCACTGCCAAACCCAAGGACCAGAGATAGACTTCTGTGTCTTCCTCAAGTAATTTTATATTTTATGTTTTATCTTAATTTCTCAAGATTGTATATAATAAAAAATAAATAAAAACAAAAATAAACTTTAAAAAAGGTTATAGATGGTACTTATACACTTTCAGATTATTGGTGAACACCCAGGATGTTAGGCATAAATGGTAAATGGATTAAAATTCACATACACGACATTCATACATTTATATCACAAGTAAATTTAGGAGATAGTTGTATTCCTTTGAAGTGGGAAAATCTTTCTTTTACATAAAGCAAAAGATAGGTGTATCACTTTAGACACATAAAACATTTCCTATGATAAAAACAACCATACTCAGAGGCTACTAGCCTGGGGAAGACTTCTGTACCTTACATGACAAAAGGTTCGTATCTTTCATCAGTAAACAAGTCCTACAAGCGGAGAAGCAAAAATGAGCAAAAGATATGAACAGGCAATTCAGTTCTGCAACAGGGAGTCCAAACAGCCTTCAGCTTGAAAGGAAAAACAGCTTCCTCGTCCTCATCCATGCCCGGCAGGCCCTGGGAAGGGCGCCAAGGGCTGGCTTGGGCGCAGACGTGGGCAAGCGGTCACAGTCACAGTGCTGGCGCAGTCTGAATCCCTATAGCTTCTTGGGAAAATGCTTACAGCTACCTGGAAAACAGCCTTCACTCGGCGCCAACGTCAGGTGCTCCTACAAATGGGGGCTGTGCCATCGCTCCAAGCAGTAGCTTAAAGCTAGCGGGGCTCAGCATCCACCTAGCACGAGGGGCTGCACGAGCTGAGGCTCATGTAAACCACGGGCACTGCCCAGCTGCCCAGACACCGGTCTGCGTGCACACACCCGTAGGAAGAGGAGAGCAGCATGTCGAAGCATGAGAGGCGCAGAGAAGTCATGTGTGTATGAAAAGAGAGTCTCACCTGGCGTCAGCAGTTCCGATGAGTAGGGACAGTGAGCTCAGACTCCCCTGGGAAGCTGGACTGGAGGAGCTTGGAGGAGGCCGGCCTTCGTGAATCTTGGCCTTGTTGTGCCTTCTACATGAGCGCTCGCTTCTCTTACAACAGAATCTCTAACTGGAGGAAAGAAAAGTCAGTCCGCACTGAACGTGCGGGGACGGCAGGTGTTCTTATCAGCACTGCGTACCTGTGCCCGGTTGCTGGGGCGCACCCAGTTGCTGGGGCACGCCCAGGACCCTGACCCCGGCCGTTGGGATGGGGTCATTCCCACAGCTCCCTTGGGGTCTGGGTGGCTGGTGTGGCTCTGTGGCCCGCACAGGGTGGGGGTCCAGAGCTCTGTGGCTGTCCCCCGTCTCCCAGCTTTTGGCTCCTCGTGGGTAGGAGACCAGCTTGGGGCATCCCCGATGCGAGGCTCTCTGTGTGCCCAAGAGTGACAGCATGGTGGCGGGAGTCAGGGTCTGTCTGACCTGTGCTTATCAGCTGCGCTTTACTGACCTGAGTGTCAGCTGTGAGCCTGGGGACAGGCCTGGACACCAGTGCCCAGCCCGGGCAGTCCTCCCCCTGCGAAGGGGTCATAGGCCTTTGAGGCCTCAGGCACATGGGGGCCATTTTTGCCAGCCCACCTCCCAGATCCTCGGGGTGGAAGCTTCATGAGCCGTCCCCAGTCCTCACCTAGCTCTGCGGATGGATGTCTTGTTGGTTTGGGGGAAGGCTCAGGGCGTCCAGGTCCATCCCCTTGGGATGGGTATCTAAGCCCGGCTCTGGGCCATCAGACACCCCGAGCCTTCTTCAGAGGCCTAACGTGCTGCCCCACACCCTTCCCCACAGCCAGGAAGAGCCCCATGCTGCTGGAGGTGAGCCCGGCCCACTTCATGAGGACCAACAGCTTCGCCGAGGACCTGGACCTGGAGGGGGAGACGCTGCTGGCGCCCATCACCCACGTGTCACAGTGAGTCCCCACGTGCCCACCTGGCCGCGCCGGAGGCGCCTGGGGCTCAGAGGAGCCGCCTTGCTGCCGGCCCGGGGCTCGGGCCTGCTTGCCAGGGGCCTCCACTCGCCACCTGCCCTTAGTGACCTGGGGTCCCCTGTTGCCAGGGGCCGCACCCAGTGCATGGGCCCCGAGCGAGGGGTGGGGGAGGCACACGGGGCCATTGCCCGCCAAGTCTGGGAACACGATCCTCTTGTTCTGACTTATGGAAAACCGAACTGATCGTTTTCCACTTGTTTCTGTGCCTTGAGCGTCCGAGCAGGTTGCTTTTCTCTCCCCCGGCCCCTCCCCCACCCCCCAAAAGAGAGACGACTTTGTTTCTCGGCGTTTCCCCCTAGAACCCCGGAGCCGCCGTGGGGTCGATGCCGAGGGCCGCCTGCCAGTCGCGCTGCTGTCCTCAGGGGCTCCTTCAGGTGGAGGAAATGGCTGATTTTCCACGCCTTCCAGTTGGCCATCCCCCGAGGCACAGCTGGCCTGGGACGCACGCCCGTCCTCCCCCGCCTCGAGGCCCTGCCAGGCCGATCCCCAGGGCCTGGCCGCGCTGTGATCCCCTCGCGAGGGGTGAGTCAGTGCTCCCGGCAGGGCACCCAGTGGGGACAGTGAGCCGTCGGGTCCGTCGGGCACTCGGGCCGGTTCCGGCCACTGCCCCGCGGGGGAGTCCCCCAGGCGAGTCCTTCTGTGTCGGGATGTGCACTCCTCTCGGCCCGTCCCAGGCTCTCAGGCTGACACGGGTTCCTCTGCCCGCCGACACGGGGTGGTCTCGGCAGGCCGTCGGCGTTCCTCCGGGGGTCTCGGTGTTGTCGTGAGCCGTGTGCGCGCCTCGGCCGGGGTGAGGCCCTGGGCCGTTGCCTCGCAGGTGACCGAGGAAGCGGGGAGCCAGGTCTCGGGGCCTCTGGCTGCTTGGGCAGGACTGGCAGAGTCACATGGCCGGAGAGAGAGAAAGACGGGACCGCCTCGGGCTGGTGTTGTGATCAGGCAGGACCCGCCGGCTGGCTTTCCAGGGCCCCTGGGCTCATAGGCAGGTGGGCAGGCCCCCCGCCATGGCTGGCAGGGGGCCCCCAGTGAGTGCTCCCCGGCTTGGAAGAAGCCGGCCGGCTCACTAGGAAGCAGGGGCAACTCGTCCTCATGGACCCGGCCCCTGAGTGGGCTGCTGGGCCCACACCCGTCCTGGAGACGACCAGGCAGGCTCACTGGATAAGTGCGCGGGAGGGCAGGTGTGAAGCCAGGGGCAGGCCGGTGCCCGCAGGCAGAACGCCTACTCACCGCTTCGGCTCCGGCCTTCCCGGAGTCCAGGGCACGGGAGAGACCACAGATTGTTCACAGTTGTAGTTCTGCGGCTGAGGTCGTGTGCCACACAGGAGCAGTGCCCACTCAGAGCCTGCTGGGACCCATGACCCTCAGGCAGGGGACCCTCTCTAGGCCTCCCTGGGCCTGCTGCCCCATCCTATCCCCCCACCCCTCTTTGACTTTATCCTCTCGGCCGTGGCTCAGCCCCTCGAACACACACACACACAGAGTCCCACCCGGGAAGGACAGGGCTGCCACCCACCATCAACGCAGCTGGGTGGGGAGGCCTCACCAGCTCCCTGACCCTGCGAGACCCTCACCGGGGGGCCCAGGGTGAGGCTGACAAAAGACTTGGGACTGAGCCGCCCCCCAGACAAGCTCACGGCTGCCCCCAACAGGCATCACCCCTTTGGCGGTGAGGGCCGTCAGCCCCGGCATCAGCACACACCTTCTGGGGGCCACAGGCCACCCACCCTCTCTGGGAGCCCTGAGAGGCAGTCCAGGCCAGCAGAAGCCAGACCTCCAGGGACGCTTGGCCGTTTCTTCTCCAGGACTGTGGCCATCAGACTGGAGGAGCACAGAGCCCCATGCTTGCTGCTGGCCGGCTGTGGGCTTTCTCAGGCCGGCCCCCCGAGTGTGGCAGGCCGGCTTGGGGGAGGGGTCTTCAGTCAGCCCCACTACTGCCAGGGCCTCTCCCCCAGTCCTCGGCCAGGTCCCCGTGCCAGAACCTACAAGGGCTTCTCCCGGCAGCCCCATCCAGAGGTGGTGGCTGGGTGTGAACCCACTGCTTGGGGGGGCTGGGGGGCAAGGGGTCCGGTATGGTCCTTGGGTCTGTGACGGGGAGACGGAGGTCAAGGCACCGTGGTCCACTCAGGGCAGAGTCAAGGGTCGCTGCTAGAGGACCTGAACAGATGTGTCCTGGGCACAGGGAACCGTGCCTTGGGGAGCCACGCTGGGGACAGTGGGACAGAAGCTCAGGGAGATGTGCTGGGCCCTCAGGACCAAGGTGCTCCCAGGGCCGCAGGCCAGGCGGAGGCCCCACCCCACCGTGGCTGGAAGAGCAGGAGGCTCTGGTGCGGACGGCGTCTGTTCAGGGCCGTGCCCACCCCGTGGGCCACACTGAGGCCGCGTACCTTCACCGCCCGCCCGGTGCTCCTGTGGTCGCTGCCCCTAAGTAAACTTGGCTCCGGCAGCTCAGGGCCATGTCGAGGCTCCTACAGGCCGCCCAGCCCTGTGGACCCAGCACAGGGTACAGAGGCCTGTGAGCTGGTGTGTGCGCGGGGGTCTCGCAGGGGCAGAGGGGGGTGGGAGGCAGTTACTGAAAAACAGATTCATTTTTCTTCAGCATTTTACTGAGGTTAAGTGTATTACCATGTTGGGTCAGTTCCAGAATTCAAATTAAAAGCATAAATAAAGACACATTTTGTTTCCATCTCAAGCTCTCCCCACCCGCTGGGCCCCAGGGAGGTGAGGTCACTGCAGCCTTGATTACGGGAAGGTCCCTGGGGCTGGGCGAAGCTCTTCTTTCCGGGGCCTGCTGGCCACTGGTGGGGCAGGGGTGGGGGTGCCGGGGGCCGGCGAGTAAGCCGGGTGCAAACTGGGAGTCACCAGGACACCATGGCTTGGGGAGGCAGAGTGGTCTGGGCCCCATGAGCAAGCCCCAGCGTCCCCGTGAAGCCCTGGGGCCCTTGCCCAGCTCCGGGGGTGCTGGGCCGCAGCCTGACACACACACCTTTCCGGAGCCCCTCTCTGCCTGGAGCCCTCAGCACCTGTGTCTCCCTCACCCAGAGCCTTGCCACAGGGCTTCCAAGGGGCAAGTGTAAGGTAGAGATGGGGCATCTGGGAGAGCCAAGAGAAGACGGAACCCCACAGCCCAATAGGAGTGGGGATGAGTTCCCAGGCTCCTGCCCCACCCCACTGCCTTCTGCCACAGAGAGCCACCGGTGGGACGGTGGGAACGGAGGGCCACCTCTGTGTGCGTCCCTGTGCCCTGCACGTGGTGTCCCCGTCTGAAACTACCTTTTCACTCATCGGCACCCATCAGACTCACCCGCCATCCTCGCCCCAGGGAGGCCCAGGCAGCCATGTCCTCCTCTGGCTGTCAGGGCCTCTGTACCAGATGCCTGAGCCTTCAGCACGGGGTCCCACCCTCTCTGGCTCTCCTGGAGCCCCTGGCCAGAAGGAGCTCCAGGACTGTGGCTCCTGCCCCGAGGCAGGCTGGATCCCCCCAGGGCCAGGCAAGCCTCACCTGAGACAAGGTGGCAAGGGCCTGGACAGGGCGGGGTGGGGCTGGTCAGAACTGGCCTCAGCACAGGGATCTGTGGCTCTGGTTGGGCCTGCGTACAGGGGAGGCCTGGGTACCCTGTCCCAGCAGCCTTGGGAGATGGCAGCCAAGTCTATGAAGCAACCCCCCCCGCCACGCTCCTCACCCAGCTGCCATGGCAGCCAAGCCCAGCCAAGAGTCCACATCCGTCCCTTCGGGTAACCTGAACACCCCAGGCAGGTGGTGCGAGAGGCCAGGCCCGCAATGAACACTGCTGCCTGGTGTTCCCCAGGATTGATGCCTGGGCCCCCCCTTTGTCTCCCCGTCCTGGCGTTGTGGCTGGGCGAGGCTCAGCTCCTGCTTACTGGCCGCCCCCACCCCGTCCTCCTCCGCCAGGGTGTGCAGAGCCCGACGCCCTGGGCATCCGCATGGTCCCGGGGCAGGCCAGGAGCCTTCCAGGGAAGGGAGGCTGAGGGAAGGCAAGGCCAGGGTGGGGGCACCGTGGGGGCCCCCACAAAGTGACCATGAGCACCTCCCTGGCAACTGTGAGCCTGTAGGGCCCCGTGACAGGAAAGCCCGTGCACCCTTGAGCAAACCCAGCTCCGCGTGCATTAATTAGAATTTCCATGTCTCCAACTTTCTCCCGGACCCTGCGGAGTCTCGTGCCAAAACGCTCAAGTGTGTCTTTTCCAACAAGGCCGCTGTGGCCTGGCTTTCCTCCACATCACTACTAACGTCTCCTGAATTCTGCGTTGTCAGCGAGGCCATGGCCAGCCCTGTGCCTTCTGGAAACAGGGGCAAATGTCACCAGGCTCGGCCCTGCGCTCAGCTCCGTGGACGGGGGGGCCAGGTCTCTGGATGGGCCCGGCTCAGCTGGGATGTTTTGAGGACCCTGGGGCCTGCTGCAGCTCCCTCCTGAGGCCAACAGAAGTGCCAGGCTCCGTGCCTCGCCGACTGGCCATGCTCCTTGCTCTGTTTCTCACACTGTGAACCTTGGTGGGAAAGTCTGAAGAAGGCCACTCGGGGCCAGCGTCCGGGGGATGGGGGGAGGGTTGCCAGGAACAGATGAGACCAGTGTGTCTTTCCAGACCGGTGTCCTGTCTTCACTGGAGCTCCAGACCACCTCTGTCTGCACGAGGTGCCAAGGGAGCCCCGTGGGAGCCCGCCCGGGGGGCTGTAAGGGGCCGCGTGAGTCACAGGCCCCGTCGGAGCCTCCCAGCCCCGGCCAGCTCCAGCCCGGCTCTGAAATGCACGGGGGGATTAAATGTTCTCCTAATTGAATTAAAAGCGAGGCGGAGTGGCTCAGTGGGAAAGAGACAGGACTGGGAATCAGATGCCCTCCATCTGGCCCTGAGCCCGCACCGGCCCAGCTGCAGGCCGGCCCCCGGGGCCCCTAACCTCTGGGAGCCTC